CACGCAGAGAACGCAGATGAGCAAGTAGACGAGTTGGATGCAATAGTAGAACTGTAATGAAGGTGAATAAATCCAATAATCAAGCAGCAAAACAACAATACATTTAACGCGCATCGCATTGGATTCAACACATTCAGACATAAATGGCATTCGCGAAGGATCAACAGGTACCGGTACGGTACCGCTTACTCTATGCACCTACCTTGCGTCGTGTTTTCGCGTGCATGGTAGGATTGACGTTGCTGGGAATTGAACCCAGACCTCCTGCAAGCAGGCGCGCTTCCATTGCGCCACAACATCGATTTCTTGAGTGTCGTCGCTCTGGCCTTCCAGTCGTGCAGCACAGTCCTGCATAATAGCAGCACAGACCTACATAATCCACCAGATTCGCCAGCTAAAAAGTGGTTATGACACCATACATCACATACATACAGTACCACCACAACACTAGCTCCAATTCTTACCATGGTGATTGATTCGTTTCGTGGCGGGTCGGCAAATCTGCGGCGGGTCGGCCGTGGGCTGACTGCACAGCTACGACAGAACTCGAGCACACCGTTAGGTTAACGTTATGGAAGGATGATCGTGCTCACCGATGTTCCAGCATGTGCTTGGTCCATGCCTGCGTTCTGGCCTGTGGAATTCTGGAATGGCAATGGAAAACACGTCATAGCTTTTTTAACCAAGTATTTTTAGCCAATGAAAACTACTTGGACGATTTGGAATAAAATTATTTCGACAAAGTTCAACTTGGACGATCATGAGAAATTTTGGCCTTGGTTGGACGATCCTGGGAAATACCCCAGATTTTTTATCACAACAAAATGTGTCACTGTCACAACGCATTTCGTCGTTCTCACAAGAAAGTCGGCGTGGAATATAACCGATCATGTGGTAAACTGTTTTCAAGTTACAATGTTTGCGGAGGTACTGTATCCCAATTTCAGTCATGTCCTGGGAAGTTGGTGGGCTCGCTGCCTCTCCATGCCTGACTGCTGTAGTTCCCTTGCATTGGGTATACCCTTGTCGAGATCAATCTTAGCTATGATGGCAGCAGTTGCTATGTACCTGTCATTGTGCTCATTTGTGATGGCAGCGTCACACACAGCACTTTAGTAAACCGCCATGAACGTGAGCTACCTTAGGCCATTGTGGTTGTACTGTACAGTAGTGGAGAATAGAAACCTGAACATTGCATGAATTTGAGTTCACAATGCGTCATGCAATATTTGATTATGTGTTTACGTTTGTGCGCTGTACCTTGAGTGAATGGGCTCAACGACAGGATATGCAGCAGGTACTACCAGTAAAAGTTTGGACTTAACTGTGAGTCGTGGGGTATCCACATGTAGAAGTCTACTTACAGTGGCCCCTCATGTCACTATGACTTCCTCGTAGTGTTGATCCTTATAATTGCTGCAAGCAACCCATGCATAGTTTACACCCTGCACGGCCCTTCGGTACTTTCCACAATAATTCCACTCCACAGCATCCCCCCACGCTACATACATGGTTAAAACGAATTCTCTAGAAGTATGCGATTGAGTGTGTACAGGGGTTTCACTCCGGATTATTTGAGTAGAATTCATAATGCGCATTGTCTTTCGAGCTGGGGGGGGCAATTGTTGTGGAGAGTTCTACAGAAGGACTGTATA